CTCAACCCCTTCCCCCTCCGCCCCAGCCACACCAAAATAAGAAATGAAGCAGCTATTGCCGTGAAATTACCCGACGGAAATTTTATTTAGCCAGTCAGAACCTCCAATCGTCAGGCCTCATTTATGCCCGACCCTGAAGGAACGGAGACCGAATCGGTTTACACCCTGCCTTCTCGCTGGGTACACGCTAGCACCCAGCGGCCCCCTCCCCCCCCAACATAGATCGCGTGCCTCACTCTCCTCCCCCACCTTGGGAAAAAGAAACAAAGCAGCAGCTATTGTCGCCAAATTACCCGACGGCTAAGCCAGCCCGAACCTCCATCGTCAAGCCTCACTTACGCCCGACCCTGAAGCATTGAAAAAGAGCTTTTTTCTTACCAGCGGCAGGATAGAGGGATGTCGCAAGGGCTTTCCCTGTTATATAAAATTAAAAAAAAAAAAAAAACAGAGCTTTGGGGCCTACCAGATCACAGCCGGGAGACGAAAGGAGGGGAGGGGAGGGGAGGAGAGTGACAAGATTCTCTCTCTCTTCCTCATATTTTTCCCTGACAAAAACGCACCTACCCCACGTCCATGACTAGATTCCTTCTCAAATCAAATAAAAACGCCGACTTGCTAGCAACTATCGGTGTTTTTCCATAAGTAGCCCAAGCTCATACTCGGCCTCTTTCGAATCAGTGAAGCCCATGCTCATCCTCGGCCTCTTCCGAACGAATCTGTCCGCAATTTCATTCAGGTATCCATCCATCCTAGTGCGAGTATGCCCGAAGTAGTTGTGCGCCTACAGAAAACAGGGCTACATATGGACAAACACCGAGCCCAGATGACGCTGGCAGACCACGTGCGAATGACGTGCATTCCTCCTCCTCTGGCGGCAATTTCTTTCAGGTACCCATCCTAGGGCCAGATCCCACCGGCAAAGAGGATTGGAAGAAGTGTCTGAATCTGGACGTGTTCCACACAGAGGTGCAGAAAACTAGATCAATCACAATTTTTTGCATCTGTCCACAAACACGTCCACATTCAGAGACTTACTACAATCCTCTTTGCCAATGGGATCTCGCCCCTAGTGTGAATATGCTCGAAGTAAGAAAAAGTTGTGCGCCTGTAGAAAACACGGCTACTTTTTTCCACCAAAAAAAAAAACAAAAAAAAAACAGGGCTGCTTGTGGAAAAAAAACACCGAACCCAGATGACGCTGGCAAACCACGTGCGAACGACTCGCATTCCTCCTCCTCCTCCTCCTCCTCCTCCTCCTCCTTCACCACTTGCTCGCCCTTCCACTTTCCCTCCCGGCCTTTTCTTTTTCCTCAGCACACTCAACGAGTTCCCATGGGCCATTCAGGAGCCCATAGCGGACACCCAACGAAGAGGCCGAACGAGTTCCCATGGGCCATTCAGGAGCCCATAGCGGACACCCAACGAAGAGGACGAACGAGTTCCCATGGGCCATTCAGCAGCCCATAGGGGACACCCAACGAAGAGTTCGAAGGGATGGAGGAAGGGCACGACAAAGTGGATGACGGAGCGAACGAGGAACAGGCAGAGGAAAGGGAGGAAAGTAGGACGAAGCCGGTACCAAGCAGGCGCGACGAAGAACGGAAGGAGAGATGTGACACAGGAAGAAGGTGGGAGGACTACCTAGGAGCGGAACGCATACCGTGGCGGTATCATGTACTGTTAAGTAAGAGGTGAATAAGGAGGAGGGGAGGAAGGAGGGAGGGAAGAACCAAGGCTGTCTCTTATACACATCTAGATGTGTATAAGAGACAGGTACCAAGCAGGCGCGACGAAGAACGGAAGGAGAGATGTGACACAGGAAGAAGGTGGGAGGACTACCTAGGAGCGGAACGCATACCGTGGCGGTATCATGTACTGTTAAGTAAGAGGTGAATAAGGAGGAGGGGAGGAAGGAGGGAGGGAAGAACCAAGGCGGGCCGATGACGGTGGGAAGAGAAGAGAAGAGGCATATGTGATAGAAAGAAAGTGGGAGGACTCCCCTTCCTCCTTCCCCCCCCTTCCTTTCTTCCTGTCCGATCGGAACGTATACCTTGGCCCTATCATGCCTTGTTAGGTAAATGAAGAGGGGAGGAAGAACGGTAGAGAACGAAGGCGGAACGATGACGATGGGAGGAGAAGAACGAGGAATAGGAAGAAGGGGGAAGGGGAGTAGGGAGGTGAGATGAAACAGGTGGGAGGACGAGGCGCGGAACTCATACATTGACGTTTCCGTGTACCATAAATAATCAATGACTGTATCTAAGACGGGAAGCCGATGGCAAGAAACACGAAATAGACCACACGAGCGTTTCAAAGGGTGCCTTACCTCTTTCCACAATGTCCCGCTCTGCCTTGTCATTTCCGGCGCAACCCCCTCTATAAGCACACATCGTTACGATGCTGAATAGTAGCAGATGCCCGCCACCATCGCGGCATTTCACGTTGCCAAGGCTCTTCCGTTCCCTGGGCTCTTCCGCGGCACTTGGGGACAAATCCAGGCGACGAGGAGAAATCCAGGCTCTTCCGTGAAATTTCATGCACACTGCATGCAGCCAGACTGAGTTAGCGAGACGAAAATTTCTCCGCTATTTTTAGCCACGTTGGTCGTCATCGTCTTTTCCGGAGGACGACGAGAAGGTCACGCAATTTTTAAATTGGACCCACATCGACCTTCAAAAAGCGAGACAAATGGAATCTCCTCAGTTCTTACAAGAGAGGAACAAAGAACAACAGAGCTTCATTGTTTGTTTTCAACGAGAAACACAACAGTCAAACCACAAAAAAATATATATCCATAAATAATATTTCTTACCAAAAAACGAATCAAAAACGTTTTCATAATACGTCAAACGAACATCCCAGGGCGAAATATACCGCGGCATGAGATATGCCAGCACCAGCAAACCAGCAAGAAGCTTATCTATATCCCCCGTTAATAGCACGTAACGAAATCCGCAGAACTTACTAGTGATTCAGGTGATTAGTTACAGTCAGAAATCACTCTATACTGTTTTCACTGCAGTCAGCAAGTGCAATCAGCGATTACTCAAGAATTTTTGCTTGCCTCAGCAGTTACTTTTACCCGCCGATCATCAAGAGTTTATAGCCTAATTAGGTAAGCAAGAATAGGGTATATTCCCATAACAGCACATAAACAAAACTAGTTTAGTAGTCAATAGACTCGTCCTCTCTATAAGTTCCTCAGTAAGGAAAGATGAGCCAGTGTGCCTCTACACACACGCAGCAGTTTCCATCACGAAAAGAGGGGAGATTTATACAAAACGAAATCTTTTTTTTTTTTAACAAAACGAAATCTAACGAGACGAAAGAGAGTAATTTAAATAAAACAAGACAAGATGTGCGATGTATTTAGTTACAGAAACTCGGACGTTTCTCATAACGAAAAAGAACTAAAAAAAAGGAATACATGCAGTTTTTCTCCCCTTTCCCCATCATTGAATCCTCCAAGACGGTGTAGAAAGCCACGTGTTTGTCCACACGGTATTTAGTTACATAAACTCGGACGTTTCTCGTAACGAAAAAGACCGAAAAAAAAGAGATACATTGACTTTTTCTCCCCTTTCCCCATCATTGAATCCTCCAAGACGGTGTAGAAAGCCACGTGTTTGCCCACACGGTCTACCTGCCCGATCCATTTCAGCCTTCAATAAATGACTAGTACCTCTCTCTCTCTCTCTCTCTCTCTCTCTCTCTCTCTCTCTCTCTCTCTCTCTCTCTCTCTCTCTCTCACACACACACACACACACACACACCTTATCAATCAGTCACATGCATCCTGAGCAGACTGTCGAGGTTTGAACTCCTGATGAGTCGGTGGAAGTCCGACGAGACAGTCAGGCACAGTAGTCATGCTTCTTTTGTGCAGTTGTGTATAGCCCACATGACAACACACACATACACACGCGCACACTAACACACATATCTATGATAGCTGACGTGATGCATCATCGAGAACGCACCTTACCCACACAATGCAGGACTCACCGGAGAGCAAAAGGCCACGATATACCTCACATAAAGAGAAACATGACGCCCGCTATCAGAAAGAACAGGATCATTTCTCTTCTCGGACCCACCTACCAGATCCCCTCACCTAGGCCCCGATTCCTTCTCTTCCCTCAACATCCTACCGCGCACCTCCCTCAAGACCTTCTCTCCCCAGATCAGATGCTTATCAGATGCCTGTCACTCGGCCTTTGTTCGCCGCTCCACGTGTCTGCTCCCGAGATCACAACTGCCTCGCAAGCCTCACTGGAACGGATGGGAATAGAACCTGAGGACTTGCGGCGCGCACTCACTCAATGTTGTTATTTCGGTACTCTACAGAATCAGAAAAAGCCAATTAGACAAAGAATAAGAGACAACAGGACACAAGGACAAGCGTAATCCAATTTCCCGTAGCAATTTCGTCGTTTCCACCGGTGACTTGTAATCCCTACCAACCACCTCTCCCCTCTCCCTCCATGCATGTGTCAACAACGCAACTCCTTGGATTCGACGGGAGGGCTGAGCAAAGACTGCTCAAACATTACCCGCCAATCATAGACCTTATTTCCACCACCAACACAGGCGTGCTCAGCCAACTTTCCGTCAATCAATACACTACTTCTGTTATCTCCTCTCGTAAAATGACCCGATATGGATCGTAAACAACGGGAACAGAAAAAAAAAAAAAAAAAAAAGGGAAAACAGTAAATCTTTCCCAACAAATCCACACACACAATCTAGTCTCAGCTCAACGACAGCACATTACGATGAAGCCCCTCCTATATAGCTAATTTAATCAGTGATAATTACAGACATATTCTAGACTCTAAGAGCCAATCAAACCACTTCATATGATGTTGGCTGCGCACCCCGACCGCGCATCGGCCCCAACACTCGCACATCAATCAACTCCTTCCCCCGAAGAAAGCCCCGAAAGAGACCCCCTGCAGTAAGCCCCGCTGACAGATATCCATAATTCCTCGCCCCCTCCGCCAATTCGTCGGAGGACAGGAAGAAGGCTAACTCCTTCCTCACCCCCGTCCTCCCCCAATTCTTTGCAGAAAATGAGAAAAGCCCCGGCTCTCCATACTGAGGTCAAGCAAACTACCGATCCACCCTCTCAAACCCCATACCCTACGCAGAAGAGTGCGAGCGATGGGGAGGGGGGAGGGGGGAGGAGAGGAGAGAGAGGGAGGCGGTCGTATGACAAGGACCCCAGCTCCCTTGTCTTGACTGCGAACGACCTCCTCCTCTCCCTGGACAGACAGACCCCCATCACCCCTATTCACCCCTCTTTCCTCGCCTCCTTCAATCATCACATAATTGTACATGTACCCCTACTCTCACCTTCATCTTGGGCTATGGATTGCGGCTGTTGACTGTACCTCCTCCCCACTGCTGGGTTGTATGTGAAATCTGCCACATCAAGCCCATACTTCTCTCGCATGCGAGTTGTCCACGCGTCCGTCCTCTGTGGTGGTTGGCTTCCCGCCGGCGCCACTTGCGTGCCTAGATTACTCTGCTGCGAACGTGGGAGCAGTGGCTGACGAATTGCCCTCGTCTCCACCCTATACTCCTCATCGCTGTCGTATCCACGGCGGCTTCCATCCTGCATCGCCTTCAGTGTCAGGGCAAGCAGAAGACCGACGATCTCGATGGCCAGCACAGCAACGGCAGCCCATTTGCACACGAGGAGATGAGTCTCAATAAAAGCCTTCGCCTTCGCCTCCTCGCCTGTGGGATCAGCAGGGAAGTCTCGCTGCCAGCTGTCGTCCAAGAAGATCACCGCCGACAAAGTTGCCTGGCTCATTAAGAGAACCGCCAAACCAAGAGAATAACAGGACAAGCAGCAGCCGCTGTTTGTCTCTGCGCCAATCAAACCTGTGCAGGTGACCAGACAAGTGAAAATGCCAGCGATAAGAAAGGCGTAGATAAACCAAGGCGCGGGGAGCTTGATTGGCTCCTTGAGTACACCACCGTCGCTCAATCCGCTCTCGTCATCCTGTGTTGTCAAGGCGACATGAGATCCTTCGTCATTGCGCACGAGTGTATCTGCCTTCCGTTCAGCAGAGCCGCCACTTGTAGATCCTACCGCCATCACCCGGGAAGGCAGTCCTGACCGCAAGATCGGTGGGGCTCTTGGCGGCTCCGACGGCTGAGCTGGAGT